GTAGCCCCTCTAAAGGCAAATCAGAAGGTAAAATGAAAATACTGAATTCTGCGAACTTGTTTTTAGAGGTCATTTTTCAGCACGTGGATTATGATACCTAATTCAGTTTAGACATTTTAATGGAATCTTAGAGTCTGACTATGTATGTATCTTTGCAGGTGACTTTCACCTACATAAATTACATTAATTATACCCAATGTTTATCAAATATGAAGCATATTTCTTGACTTGGGGGAGACTAGGAAGACGGGGACATTTCTCTGAGAGAATAAAGTACACTCACTTGAGAAAAGAGACAGATAATTGACAATGTTGGTAACATATGCTAAGTGACAACAAGTGACAGGCAGAAAAAGCTCTAGTGGTTCATAGGATGGAAATGTTCATCAGGAGAAAGCAGGGACGGAGCCTGGCTTTGAAATGTGAACTCAGACTTAAAATGCTGCAGAGAACTTGGTGTATCCACACACATGCGCACACACACACCTGCCAAGCCTCTGCTCTTAACCCCACTGCTGCCTTACCCACTAATACCCACCTCACTTCACTCCTGAATTAACTGTGGCCTCTGCTTGGTGCTCCTTACTCCTTGTTTGAACCCATGCATACAGTATATTACCAGAACAATTTTCCTCACACTGAGCTTTCACCACGTTACTACTCTGCCCTGCAGTTTTTACATAAATTGTCATTTGATAGCACCAGTGTTGGTCTGTATTCTGCTTGACTCCAGTGTATTTGAATCCAATATGTTTCCCTCTCCGATTAGTCTTTCTCCCGCAATCACTATGATCAGATCTTTTGGTTTAAGAGATTATTATAGCAGCTTTTATCTACTGTTACCAGGAGTATGCACTGCTGAAATCTTTCTGCAGAGCAAAGCCTTAAAATGTATATATGCGTTATTTTACTGAGACATTATGCCTCTTCTCATGGCTTTGAGATGCATTTAATATATATGTGTGTGTGTATATATATATATAATGGTACAACTATTTTTATTGCTGCTATTTAAATGACAAAATTTGTTGATGCATCCTAATTTGTCCTTTGGGAGGAGGCTTTTCTATACTGGAAATACCTGGGAACCATTAAAAATGATGATAAATATAGAAAATAGTGATTTTTTTTCTAGTAAGCATTAAAAATATTTTCTGATCTGCCCATGGTGTATCCTTTAAAATTGTGGGGTTTTTTGCTTTGCTTTGTGTCTTAAGCTCTCTAATAGCTTTCTGTTCATCAAATGAATCCTTGCTTGGGATGCCTGGTTTCCAGGGCCCTGCATCAACCTTCTCTCCAATTACATGGTGCACCTACAGAGATCTCAGCCACTTCCATTGTTTTATCCCTGACTGGACTTGCATGGCCCAGGCTCACTCTCAGCTATGCTCTTGTTATGTCCTTTCCCACCTCAACTACCTTTTGTCCGTTTCTCTCCTAGTTCAACTCCTCACGTTTAAGGTTTTACTTGTGAATCTTGTCTTGACTTTCTCAGACCTCTGTGGCTATAGCATCCACTTGCATCGTTCATCTCAAGTAAACAGGTGTTCTGGAAAGGAGCCTGGATACAGCAGAGGAGCTAGAATGGAACTGGACAATACCTGTGAGAGGAGCTTCATTTTTGATGAAAGTTGGTTTTGAAGGATATTTGGAATGCAGCCATGCATACACCAGTCCTTGCTGCTTTGTTCTTTTTCTACTTAACTGAGTGTCTTTTTTTCTCCAATAAAGAGCTGGCCAAGGGAGAAGACATGTTTTAGCTCCAAACAACTTTGCAAGGGAAAATTCAGAGATAAAGGTTTACTCTAGAGTGCAATATTTTGTCATCTTTTCCCTCTGGTCCTGTGTCTGTCTCCTAGCCCCTTCCTGCAGTGCATGCACATGGCCTGATTAGGCTAACGTTTTCTCCCCTCTTACTCTCAGATCTTGATATGTTGCATTTACTGGGTTTAGTATGAAAACTGAAGAAGAGAGAAGTGCATTCATCCATCTTTCTATGTCTGGCTCATTAAACTGTATCCTGGCCCCATTTGCTGGTCGTGCTCAAATCCCTTGCCCAGCCCTTCTCTACCCCCTTACCCCATGGGTAGGAGGTAAGAATTGGCTTTTTTGGTTCTTGTGTCAACTGAAAATATGTATTTTTATTATGAAAATATGCAAGCATACATAAAAACAGACAGCATAGTAAAATACATGTCTTGTGTACCCATCACACAGATTGTTACCAATATTTTTAGTGTGTTCTTTTAAGACCTATGTTTCTCTTAACATATTTTTTTACACTATAAATTCTGTCTTTTTCTAAACCTTGGCTTTTAGTCATGTGTGTAGTAGATCGAATGGTGAAGTTCTGTGGTATTCAGGTTCAATACTTAGTCATCGTCAAAGACAGTGTATGTAAAAGTAGAAATTAAAATTCAACAAACGTAGCTAATATAACTTCATATAGTAACTTCGCCACAGGTTACAATTTAATTGTAATTATCATTTCTATTCTATTAAATTCACCCCTAAACCTGAAAATTGAATTTTCACCTGTACCTCTTACAATTAAAATATGATCATGTGAGTCATTAGCACCATTCTGGTTAATTACCACAGATGTCATTTCTTGTGAACCTCTCTTACTCTTCGTGTGATTTCCTTCATAGATAGTCCTGATATTACTAAATACTTTCAATGTATACTTAGATATTCTCAACCCTTAAGGATGTAAGAGCAACAGGAACCTTCCTTATAGACGATAAACTAGTATTGAAAATGATGAACTATTTTTTGTGTGTAAGAATACTTGCCTTCCTAACAAAATAGGATAGCATTACGATAATAGCTTTAAACGCAGGTTAATCATTTTCATTCTTCTCCTGAGCAACTCATCACTTTTGCACAATGTAGTCACTGTTGGAAATTCTCTAATTTTTCCCTATTTTTTTTTTCCTCCAGCTCTTGTAAATGTGAAACTCTGGGCCATTGATCGACAATGTTTTCAAACAATAATGATGAGGACAGGACTCATCAAGCATACCGAGTATATGGAATTTTTAAAAAGGTAGGATGCTTTCTTTTCTCCTGAGAGTTTGTAATTCTCTTTAACCCTCCTCTGAAATGCAGCACAGGGAGCATTTTTTTTTTTTGCCTTTATCCCAGTCTTAATAGCCTGCAAATTTGTGGAAGTGAAAGACTTTGTGTTGGCTTCTTTCTATTTCTGATGCCAAATTTTATGATACGTGGTCAGGTCAGAACTTCAGAGTCTTTTTCAACATTCTGTCATAGAGGAGAGCAACTCTGACAAACAAGTGAGCATTTGCTCATACAAAAAATAAGGATACAGTCCATCTTTAACTATTTATCAGTTAATATATTTATGGTACCTTTTCTAAAGCAACCCACAGTGTAAGACTGAATCATCTCTTGTATGAGGTTCCATATTAAAGATCAGATGACTAAGATGAGAAAGTTCCAGGAAACAACTTATTATCCTTTAATCCTGAGTTTAAGCTCCCAAATTAATTTTATGTTGCAGCTCTGAAATACCAAAAGCTTTTCTCTTCTTGATGTTTTATATTATCATAATAACTCAATATACGACAGGAGTTGGGATAAAACACCAGCTTTCATTTCTTAGGAATATACTGATAGTCACTGAAATTCATTTCTTTGTCTCTCGGCTTCTTTTATTTTAAATACTTTATCATGAAAATGAATATTGACTACTTTGACTTTCTTTGGAAAAGTATTTTGTATCATTTTTCTTTTCAAAACAGAAGTGTCATTAGTGATGCACACAGTATGTGAACTAAATGGGAGTGTAACACCAATTAAGATTTTATTTTTGAGAGTGAGAATGTTAAACTGGCTTTTTCATTTTACGTATTTATTTTTGGTGAAAAAATGGTTAAATGGAGCTAAAAAATCCAATTCATATTTCATTTCAGTGATACATCTTCACAGATAGCTATTGAATTTTCTTAAGATGCAATTTTATTTCTCACTTGGGTATTTGGTTAATTTTGTTTCTGATTAAGTGGCCATACATTTTTCATTTCCACATGATTTTTTCTATATTCCTGCTAAAAGGACAATAAACTTCAACTTGATGTCACATAATATATTAAAAATTTCCCTCTACTGGTAGGGTGTTGGGTTTTTAACTTAATATGATTGGCTGAAATACTTAGAAGTAGAAATGTAAATTTGTTTGATGTTTAGTTTGCAAGGAAATAAAATTATTCAGGTTCCATATGTGTATGTTATATTTGTATATATGTTGATATTGAGATATGTTGAGATATGTGTATTGAGATATATGTGTATATATATAGGTGTGTATGTGAATGGAGAGAAACAATGAATATTCATTTTAAGCCTTTATTAAAGTACAAGTTATTGATTTCTTGTGATGCAGCCCTAACAGAGAAAAATCACAATTGATAATTAATGAAATGCTTATCTGTAGGACAGAGTCACTATTTGTCTTACATACCTAAGAATTGGGTGTTTATGATGTTGGTTTCAACTTCCGTAACTTTGTTTTCACAATGAAACGGGATGACTGCCAGTGCTGTTTTGCAAGACTGCGACGACAAACTTTTTTAGAGGCACAATTTCAGGAAATTGGAGGTGTCTTTCTGTGTGTGTGTGTGTGTGTGTGTGTTTAGTTGACCCTGGATATACTCTAATTTTTGTATGATTTTCAGAGCTGCCTGAATTTGTTGCCTATTTTGACAGATCAAACTTTAAATAGTACAAGTTGGTTCTCCAGAGTGTGTGCACATTTCTAGTTGGTCAGCTTAGAGCAGGTAAAGTGTAACTGATTTGTAAAAAGATAGGTGCTGACTTTGATGTCACTTTCCATCTGGCCACTCTGTAAAACATCAAGTCCACATCATTTGTGTATGTAATGATGGGCTGGGAGTCCAGAGAGGTGACAGACACAATGACCACTCTTGTCTGGGGCCAGCTTTAATCTTCCTAAATTATAACTACCAACTGGTTCTCTCTCTATAACCCTGCAGTGGCTCATGGTTCCTGTTCTGTTAGTTACAGTCTCATTAGCTGGATATTCAAGGCCCTCCTAAAGGCCAAAGCCCCCTGCTTTTCCAGCCTGGTTTCTTCTTGCCCCCTGCAAACCAAATGATTGCCTGTGCCCAGGCCGACCCTGTGCTTTTATACATCACGCTGCCTCTGTTGCCTTTTCCCATATTGTCCGTGTTCAAATCTCTCTTACTTTTAGATCCAGCTAAATACTGCCCCTTACACAGATACTGACCTTTGTACTGAGAAGTATCCCCTCCCTCGTCTGGAGCTTCATTTCTACCATGTGTCTTATTTCCTACTTTATTCTAATCTGACTGCTAAACTTATTTCTACTTCTATGCTATAAAGTTTTCAGGACTGGGGCTATTTTTTAAGCACCTTAGTATTCCTCTTTGGCACAAAGCTTACTGCTTTGTAGATGTGCAGTGTACAGGACAATAAGTGTGAGACAGGTCCATAATTTGCAGGGCCCAGTGGAAAATAAAATTCAGGGCCCCTTTTGCAAAAGTGTTAAATTTCAAGACATCGTTGGCATAGTATTAAACCAAGTGTAGGATCTTCTAATCTTAGGCCCTGTGCTATTACACTGGTGAAGCTGAAAAAGTGAGTAATACTCATTCTTCTTTCACTTCCTCAGGTGAACTATACTTGCTGCCATTTATTTTGCATGGCTGTTGAGATGGTATAATATTCCCCAAGGAAATGATAGATCTTGTTAAAAATAAGATGACCAAAATGAATCAAAAACAATTCTGAAGTCATGGTAGGAAAGTTTATTTCCCTGTTGATTGTTGATTTTTAAAGATTTTGCTTACCAGTCTTGTCCATTATGTCAAAGCTTTCAAGATTTATGTACTTAAGTCAACCAACTTTTCCTTTATGGCTTCGTGTTTAGAAAAAAATTACTTTAACATTATAAATAGAGACTTCATACTTTAAAATTCTCTAACAATCTCTGTAGGTATGAAGGGGTGTTTTTCTCTGATGTGTTTTGCTGAGTAAAACTTCCATCTGAATTTTTTGATTATAGATGTCATATACTTTATATTTGGTTAAGGAGTTAAAGCAGTTAAAGCAATTGTGACAGTATCAGAAAAATAACTCTAGCAAATGGTATTAGAAATCATCAGACTTCTTCGCAGTGAGGGTCTCTGTTGTACATTGAAATGCCCTCTTAATTGAGGAACTGTAGGGACAGGCTAAAAGAGGAAGGATTCTTTATCACTGTTCTTAATTTTCCTAAGTAAGCAATAATTTTGGAGGGTGAGAAAAGGGGACACTCCCGGCACATAAATGCACAGCCAAAGTGAAAGGATCTTTATTATCAAAGTTTTTTTATTTTCATTCCAGTTTATTTATCCACTTGTAACTGCCAGTCATGTGGTCGTCCTCCCATTGCTATTAAACGCCACATCAACCCATGATTTCTGGCTCTTTAATCCT